GATAATAGGGTGATATATTATGTATAGATAAACATTTCCCTTTTTTCTTTTTACAAATAGCAGTATGGAGAGAATCCTCAATCGATATGAGAGGTACTTACTTTGTGAAGATAGGGATGTGACGGAAGATTACCCTGAAGAATCACAGGTAGGGATATAAGTGGGTGTACTGTCTGAATATTTCTATGTGCACGTGACTAAAAGTTTATTTAATCTATATGGAACAATCATTCATTGTGTTCTTGATATTACAATCACTCTCATCTACATTTATTTTCTAGGGGAACATGAGCTATGACCACATCAGGTTGAGGTCCAAACTTGAAGCTCTACAGAAGAGCCAAAGGTAACAAGTTGCAAATATATTTTTTTAAGATAATGAACAAGTTGCAAATAATTACTGACAGAAAAGCTGCTGTTAAAAACAGAAGCTTAATAAATTTTGATACATATCGAATTAACCAAGCAATCTCTGAAAAAACATGTGCACTTGCCAGATAAAAACTCCTGTTCACTCGACATGTCTCATATATAAGTGAGATGTGAATAATAGGGCCCTCATCTGCTCACACTTGTCGTATGCTTATCCAAGGAATCTCATGGGGGAGCAACTTGGGTCCCTGACATTCAGAGAGGTACAGCAGCTTGAGCACCAGATAGACAGCGCTCTGAGGAGCATCAGATCCAGGAAGGTACATGTCACATGCACGGTGACTGTACACATATGTTAGAACTGTTACTCACACGTCAGTACTCACAGTGCACTCACACGTCAGTACTCACAGTGCACTCACACGTCAGTACTCATAGTGCCTTTCTGATGCCTACTTTATCTATTTCAGGACCACATCTTGCTCAACTCGATCGAGGAGCTCCGAAACAAGGCAAATATGCCAAATATAGCAATTACCTTTACATAGTTAATAAAAACAACTTTTTATTCTATCGCAAATAAAGTAGCTAGATTGATGATTTTAGATTTTTAATTAGTTCTTCAGATTCTTTATTATTGCTTGTTTTGGTTTTATTTGTGAGAGGTGGTGGAAGTAATTGAAGTTTTGTATTTTCAATCCCTACTTGCAGGAAGCTTTTCTGATGGAACAAAATAGCATTCTAGAGAAGGTAATGGATCATCTTATTACACCTGTAGAGCAAAAAGCATCATTGGTTTAGTTCCTAGTTGGGTTATTAGTTTCGAATGAGTTGGCTAAATATATCATACATGTGCCATTAGTAGTGTGAAGTTAATTAATTGGTCGTTGTACCGAAGTTGTACGGGTGGGTGGCACACTCTCCCTAGCCGAATGGTTCTTTGCCTCGGTTTTCACTCAAAAAATTGGTTGGCACTTGACTTTTTATTTTCTCCTTTCTAATAAAAGTCGCAAAAAAAACCCATCGTTGGTAGTGCAGGTAATCACAGGACACACACTTTTTAGTACTCTTTTATAATCTCCAATTCCCACATGTACTTCTGAAAGTGAAACGATGCACCCTATTTCAATGGATGCTGTCTTTGCTTTAGTTTCTCATCAGTTAATTACCTCCCAAATGTATTTTTCATGGAGTTTGATCGAGCTCAGCGCAACTGATCTGACCTGGAAGTGCTTCTGTGTTCATGTTTGAAGGAGAAGGCTGCACTGGGGGAATCCCTGCACACCACCAACACCGCAGCTTCCTCTATGGCAGTAGCAGCCGCCCTTCCAAACCTCAACATCTGGTGAGCAACAGAGCATCCATCGGGTGCTTGTGCTTGGCATGTTCTTTGTTCAGTTCCTTCTTCAGCTCAAGAAAGCTAAGTGCCCACCTGAACTTGCCGGTAAACACTGCAGTCCCGGCGACTCCGACGAGCCAGGAAGGGCGGCGGCGCCGCCAGGAGCGGCGATCAGCTTGCCGTGGTGGATGCTCCAGCCACCTGCCGTCAGCCAACGGCAGGAGCAGCACTGAACTGCATGTCTTCAGATGACCCATTTCTCTACTAGAACTCGATTCAGATATGACGGGGATTTGTGATCTGTCTACTGATCTACCGTTCTTCGGTTGCTAGATTTCATCCTGCCTTTTTTAGTATCTGAACCTCTGGTCTGTCGTTTGTTGTAGTTTTTGGTCGCAAATGATCCAGTTTGCGTCTCTAGTTTGATTCGGTTTCTGTAAAATCTGCTGCAGCCCTTCATGTCATTTCAGCTGTTTTTTCCCACCTTGAGCTTTGAAGGCCGGTCAGATTTTTTTTTTTTTTGAGAAATTGCAGGCCAGTCAGATGATTACCTCCACTGACACTCTGACAGACAATTAGGCCCAAGAAGGCCCAAGCTGCCTTTGGCATATGGGTCAATTTTGGGTTCCAATGGCCCAACTTTGGATAAATTCGAGCTGGACCATCTGGGTGGGCTCTCTTTTCATTCGCCTATTCATGCTTCCTTCCCCTTGCTCTCAACAAAAAGAAAAGAAAAGAAAATTGCTACCGTTCCCTAAAATGCTGCCCAATGCATAGAAGTTGTAAAGAATATGTTATTTAGCTTTCCTTCTATAAAAAAAATGAAATTTAGTATTGGGCTTTTATGGTAGATTCTCGCACAATTTGTCAGGATGATGGACAAATAAAACTGTTTGATAATTGGATGTTTGCAGTAAGACACATTGGGTTTGTTTTTATAGATGGCTTTGATCATGACCCATTTCAAGTGTGCAAGTTTTATATTTGATTTTCATAAACAAGTGGACCACATAAAAACTATACAGCTAGATCTTTAATGAAATACATTTTAAATATTGTTTTGCATTTTTGTAGTAATGTAATACTAGGAATCAAAGTTCTGACTTAGACCAGTCCTAGTTGGGCCATGATGAACTATATTGCCGTTACCTTCGCATGTCGGCACTCTAGTCACTGAAATTATTTGCCAGGTCTTTACTGAAATTATAGGCTGATGCTGACATCTGGCATGATAGCAATAATGCGAGCAAATGTATGTTAAGAACCTAAGATGTCATTTTTTGAGGGATGACTTAAGATATCATTAGAAAGAGTTGGCTACAACCATTGTTCAATAAAATAGAAAAACTATATAGAAGTGTTTTTTTCGGGCATGTATAGAAGTCGTTTTTCTATTACGAAGGAACGAAGCTATTTTGAAAAAAAAAACAAGGAAAGTAGGAAACGTGCATTGATGAATAATTAAGCTTTTAGAAAGACTTGTACATCATTATACCCATGTAAGTGGAACCCTGGGGCTACATATGATGATGACCTGGCCTTCCTATTTTATTTATGCTAAAGCTGCCATACTATTGGAATTCAAATGTCCAGCTTCTAGTGCCACATCCAACTCTTATATGAAAAGTGCCATCATGATGCAGCTACCTCAAGAAACTCAAGGCAACTTTTCTTCAAATTATCTGTTCCCATCCTACTACACACAAACGTGTAAAAGAAAACCACACTATCACCAAGAAAATCACCAGTTCACGATCCGTACGTGGTGCTATCATGAGTGCACATAGCAACAAACCCAGAGCTGTGCTGGCCTTGTCGGTGATGTAACACAAACAAACGGAATATGTGTACATATATATTGATGTAGATGGCCATGAGCCAACAGGTAAGGACACACATTTGTCAAAACATGCCTGCATTTTGGTCACCAAATCATGCTACAATGTCAGCCTTTATGCATGGCCAAACAAAAGGTTGATTTCAGCTGATTCAATGGTATTTTTGTGAGGGAGATGAGCAGAACATGGTGTAGCACCAAAAGTAGATGAGCTATAAGGATTTCAAGCTAGATCCACATGGGCCATGATGATTGATTGACAGAATGTCCTAAATTAATAATGCCCTTTCTTTGTTCCTCTTTCCTTGCATTGGATCACACTATTCTTAATCAAGTGCAATGATTTGTTTGATCTAGGGATTACCAAAGAACCATTGGCAGCACATGTTTGGAATTTCAAATTTAAATAATGTGTATGATGGTAGATCTGTTAATTATATGTAATAAAATAGAGACCGAGTTAATTGCAGCTGGCGCTGTGTGAACTTCGGAGAGACTGCTTAGTTTATTATAAAGGGAATTTAAAAGCAGACATTTATGTTTAGGAGTATTTTTTTTAAAAAAAACGATTCAAGCAGAAACCAAGCAGGAGTACAGCTTATATTAAGATAAAGAAGAAAGTCCAGATGGAACAAATTAAGTTCGAGAACTAGAACCTAAAAACAAAAGTTAGATATGATGTTGCAAATGTATTCATCATGCCCCTTTCCCATAGCACATCCATAAACAATACACCGTCTCCACTTATACTCCCCACGTCCTAAAATAAATTAATGCCTAGAATCACCCTAACTCAAATTATCTTAAGTTTAGCCAACTTTATAGGAAAATGTAACATATCTTCGACACTAAATACATACATTTTGAAAATATATTTTATAATATATCTAGTGATACTAATTTAATGTCATAAATATTGGTGTTCATTTTCATAAATTTGGTCAAGATTAAAATGGTTTAACTTACAATTGCTTTAAAAGTTGATTTAATTGGAACGGAGAGAGTACTCAAGGTTTGACATTCATAGAAAACACTAATCAAATTGGAGTAAGTTGTAAGGAAGGTGTTTATTAATCCTCTGTTTTTTTTTTTGCGATTAGTCCCCTGCTAAAACTATAGCAGTTCAATTTAAAAATTAGAAGTTCACCAGAAAGGTAAAATACATTAGGATATATATAGCTACATAGAAGAAAAAGAAAAAGGCACGTGTAGGTGGCCGCCAGCCGACCTACAAAACCAAAACCATCCGTACGTGCATGGGACAAGCACGACTACACTTCCGGTGGGACCCACATGCCAGCCGGTACTAATTGATCTCAAGTTCTCAACCCTCCCTTCAGTTCACTCCTCTGAGCTCTGAACTCTGAGTAGCCTCGCTCGCCCTGCAGGCTGCAGCTAAACCACCCTCCAGCTCGAAGAAATAAACCCCGGAAAACGCGACCACCCGACGCCATGGCCAGGCTGCTCTCTTCCTTCTGCCTCCACCGGATCAGGTCCGGCGTTACTGCGTCCACTGCCGCACTGCCGTCGATATGCGCCAACAAGGAGACCTCCTTCGACGACGGCAGTGAGAGCAAGTCGCCGAAGGATGACAAGCAGGAAGACGAGGAGGCTAATAAGAAGGGTGGCGCGGAGGCCGTCGTCGTGGGGAGGAGGTGATGGTGGCGGCGGACGGCGGCAGCGAGGAGGCCCGGACGGCGCTGCAGTGGGCGCTGTCGCACGCCGTCCGTCCCTGCGACACGGTGGTCCTGCTCGACGTCATCAGGGTCGGCAGTGGCGGCAACGGCAAGAACCGTGCGTAAGCTGCATAATCATCTAGTATTTGCGTCCTGATTACAAACGAGGAAGATGGGTTTGCCTTTCTTGTTTGGTGCATAATCATCTCAATTAAATTAGGACGCGATCCAAGAGGGAGTAGTCAGCACCTGGAGGCAATGAGGAGCATCTGCCAGGCCAAGAGACCAGAGGTAACTGCAATAATCACAAATCATACCAAGAAAAGAGGGCATAATTTGTCTTTCTGATAGCGGTACTAGCTCCAAGCAGCATTAATTTAGCAAGTGGAACTATATGGACAAAAAGATGAAAAGTGAACTTGATATATTACTGCTTTCTAGCGCTTGTGCTGCTAATCCTGATTATTACTAAATTCATTTTAGGTTACTTTTGATTCAAATCGGCTGGCCTTGTTAGCTGTATTTGAATAAAGTTTGGTATCTACATCTAAACACATCATTGACACAATCTATAAACGAACATCAAGATTTGTAAGGGAACACTAGCTAATTGCAACATTAATTTCCTCTCACAACTAACTAACTAACTGCAACATCAAAGATTAAGATTGGCATTGATAATGTTGGTGTTCCAAAGCTAGAACTGGTGTGCATTCAATGTCTTATTAGTGATGGTCTAGAAAGAGGAGTCCCTGATCTGATGCCATCCATAACTTATAGCTCATAACTATAGCCTGGTCCTTCCTCCTAAATAATTAACATCTTTGGGATGGTACAACAAGTATCTGTTGAGTAGGTCATCTCCTGCTCTGTCCGTGTTCTCTTTGGTACGTACATGCAACAGAATCCATTGAATGTACAATAGTAGGATTCAATTGTTCACGAAGATGCATTTTTCTGTTGTTTGCACCATAGCTTTGTGTCTGCGGAAATGCAAAGCGCAACAGCTCACATATCAGCTCAGGGATCCTTCCTAGGAGTATGAGGCTATCTATGAGGCGCCGAGGCTGCGCCCCAGCAGCCACCAGTCAGCCACAAAGGCCGTCCCGGCCGGCAGGTGGTCGGGAATCTGGCTGTTCCTCCGCGGGTCCCGGCGGCTCCGGCATCTGGCCACTCTTGGCCGCGCCGTACGTGGTCGCCCACCGCTCGCAGGCGCCGCAGCCAACCGGCGGTCGACAGCGACGCCGCCCGCGCAGAGGAGGAGCCAGTGAGCGTGCAGACGCTACTGGTCAACCGTCCTGCATGTGTGCTCCGATGTCCAGTAGTCCAGTCCCCTCCCCGGCTTCCTCCGCGTTCTATAAATAACAAGCCTTGGCTAGCACAGGAGCGCTCGGCCTCGGCGGCTTATTAGTAGTTCGTGTTTCTTTTAATCTCCTCTCCAGCTCCGGCCGGCCGTCCATCGCCGCCGGCCGGCTGCTGTGCGATCGAAGAAGATCAATGGGTCGCGGGCGCGGCAAGGTGGAGGTGCGCCGGATCGAGAACAGCGTGAGCCGGCAGGTGACCTTCTCGAAGCGGTGGCGCGGGCCGGCGAAGAAGGCGTGGGAGCTGGTCGTGAGCCTTGCAGTGTGTTATTGAAAAGTCCTTCATCGACACTAGCTTCCTCACATTTGCTGAAAACCCAGTCGGGACTTTGACCTCTCTCAGAAAAGTGCATATAACTCTCTTCTTGCTTGGGGTTAGGTTGAAACACGCCGCGGGCAGAGTGTATTTTTCATTAGCCTCAGATACCGGGTGAAGTTGTGGCATCACGTTTAGCTGCACCATGTCTTTTCGTGCTTTCAGACTATCATTTGACTTGCCTGTGTCCATCAAGGTAGCAATGAGACTCTCAAAGACATTTTTTTGCACGTGCATAGCATCAATGGCATGGAGGACCTCTAAGTCTGGCCAATAAGGCAGATACTGAAAGAAGATCGATTGTTTCTTGAAAGGTACGTCTTCGACATGAGGTGTGCTTCTATCTCTGTTCGTCCCATCCGGATTCTTCTTTCCATAGACGACGCGTATGTTTTTCACCATTCTGTATACGTGTTCTCCGTTATGACGTCTCTCCGGAGGGGGTTCAATCTCCGGGGTGTTGTCATAAAATCTAAAGAACAATTTGCTGCGGTACTTGTGACTTGTCTTTAAGAAGCGTCGTTTCCTTAGGTAAACTATCTTCTTGGATGCATCCAGGTACACCCATGTAGTACCATCCAAGCAAACCAAGCATTCCGTCTTTCCTTTGATCTGTCTAGATAAAGCAAACAGCGCGGGGTAATCATTGGTAGTAACAAAAAGTATTGCTCTACATATGAAGTCCTCCTTTCGGAACGCATCGTACATCGGCTCCCCATGCCTCCATAGCCTCTCCATTTCTTGCATCAAAGGCTCGAGGAACACGTCTATATCAATGCCTGGTTGTTTAGGGCCAGAAATAAGAATAGTGAGGAGAAGATACTTTCTCTTCTGACACAACCACGTTGGGATGTTGTACATAGTCAAGATCACTGGCCAAGTGCTATGGTCGCTCATCCTCTCATTGAAGCAATTTATTCCATCGGTGCTCAAGCCAAATCGTACATTCCTTGGGTCATCGCTGAATTTTTTATGCTTCTCATCGAACCATTGCCACTGACTACAATCAGCCGGGCGTGCAATCTTATCATCATCCACCTTGTGCTCATCATCCCACCATGTCATGAGTGCGGCTTCTTTAGGGTTTAGGAAGATACATCTCAAGCGGTCGGTCACTGGCAGGTATCATATTACCAAGGCAGGAATTCTTCTCTGCTTTGCATCGTTGCCTAATGGAGTGTCATCTGGGGGCTGAGATTCTTGTACCATCTTTTTTGTACCCTTCTTATTCCTCTTTTTCCCCGTAGAGGCTTCGTCCCCACCGTAAAGGTCATTGTTCTTGTACCGGTTGGCCCCACACTAGGGACATTTATCCAGTGACTTGAATGTTTCGCCACGAAAAAATATACAGTGGTTAGGGCATGCATGGATTTTTTCAACCCCCATTGTCCATGGACTTATGACCTTCTTCACTTGGTATGTGTTAGCGGAAACTGAGTTTGGTTGTGGCAGCACCCATGACAGGAGATGCAATAGATCATTGAAACTACAATCTGACCAGCCGTACTTAGCCTTCAGGATGAGTAGCTCAAGCACAAATGTAGCAATGTCCAATGTGTCGGACAACCCTTTTCAACATCATACACAGTCTCCTTCGATGCTTTTGTCACCCTTTCCAAATATTCTAGACTTGTTGGGCTATTTAGTAAAATCTCTGGTCCAAGGGCTCGAATCATGTCCTCTAAATCATCTTCATCCCCGACACGTGCTCCACCATCATTATTGGCACCACCTTCATCGTTACCATCCCAACTACCAGCATCACCACCTTGTTCATTGCCAAACTCGGAATCCATTCGTGCATCAAGCTCTGCTGTATATTGGGACAGGGATTCTAGGGTTTCATCGTCGTATTCCTCCTCATCCTCGTCGTTAACAATAACCGTTTCACCATGATGAATCTACACTGTGTAGTCCTCAACAAATCCTCGCATAATCAAATGTGATCTGATAATAGTCATATCTGTCCATGCCATATGGTTCTTGCAATCTTTACAGGGACAAATAATTGTATCCTTATTCTCTGTCAATGTCGTTGCATGCTTCTTTGCAGCTTCAATAAATTTATTCATCTTTTTACGGAAACCTACATTGAACCTTAACGAACCATACATCCAAGAGTTCCTGTACTCCATCTTTTACAACAACAACAAAACAAACTTCAGATATATATGAATATAAATCAAATTAACAATTACTTGAGAATAATTGTATATACTTCAGATATATATGAATATAAATCAAATATAATTACATGAATCATACAACACACACCATGATAGAGGAAAATTAATTAATGGCCCATTCACTATGGGATACAGTAGTGTCGGTGTTTCGTACAAGCACCGGCAAGTAAATTTATAGTAATGCGCGTTAGGCTCGGATGGTGCGCTAAAGGACACAAGATTTATACTGGTTTGGGTTGAATATCCCTACGTCCAGTTTGTTGCTGCTCGTGTTATTAGCACCGTGAATGGTTCGTAGTAGGGGATACAAACGATCGAGAGAGGGATATGTCCCAAGTCTCTGATGGAAGGGTCGAAAGGAAGCCAAGAGCTTGGTAGCAGCTTGACTATATGTGTGTGTTGCGTTGTTTTGGTCCCCCTCTACTGGAGGAAGCGCCTCCCCTTTTATAGATGAAGGGGATGGCTTTACAAGGGTCAGGGCTTAGGATCTGTGCTCTACCTAGCCTTGTGGCTTACTTCTACCCAGCCTCGTTACCCATTCTGATGGGTGCGAAAGGATGATAAGCGCCTACAATACTGTCGATGCTTCTGTAGAATGTCAGGATGGCTACAAAATAGTGCCCTGCGCAGGGTATGGGCTGGAGTACAGTGGTTTTGACTTATGGACCTCGCCCAACCTTGCTCCGCACGCCTTCTGACTCCTATGAGTCTCTGTCGGAGGGACGCAGAGTCGAGGTCCGGAGTAGTGATGTGGGCAAGGTCCTTTGATTTGGTGGACCCGAGGGGTCGGGAAGCGGGCGCCGCTCCCTTGGGTCCATAATGTGGTGACGGCATGTCCATCATTCGTGGAGATCACAAATCCTTTTCTGGAGTGTAGTGGTTGTCGTGTATCTTCATCGGGTTCCGTGTCCCAGAGCTGAAGGCTGCGCCTACAACTCTACAGGGCGAGGAGTACGTGCCTGCAATACCTTTTGGGCTCTGTGGTGCTCGGGAGGGTCTAAAGCACCTGTCCAGTCGTTCCCTGGCAGTACCTTTCCTACCGAGGCGCAGGGTATGGTCCTTGAAGCCGTGGTTGACCCGAACGACTTGTCTTGCTCTGTACCCATTATCATGAGGGAAC